GCCCACCAAAACGCACGGACCAGGCAAGGAGGGCATTAATCAGAGAGGCCACAAAGAGACCAAAGATAACCCTGAAGGAGCTGCAAAGCTCCACAGCGGAGATTGGAGTATCTGTCCATAGGACCACTTTAAGCCGTACCCTCCACAGAGCTGGGCTTTACGGAAGAATGGCCAGAAAAAAGCCATTGCTTAAAGAAGAAAATAAGCAAACACGTTTGGTGTTCGCCAAAAGGCATGTGGGAGACTTCCCTTAACATATGGAAGAAGGTACTCTGGTCAGATGAGACTAACATTGAGCTTTATGGCCATCAAGGAAAACGCTTTGTCTGGCGCAAACCCAACACCTCTCATCACCCCGAGAACACCCTGCCGATGTTTTTCCATCGGCAGGGACTGGGAAACTGGTCAGAATTGAAGGAATGATGGATGGCGCTAAATAAAGGGAAATTCTTGAGGGAAACCTGTTTCAGTCTTCCAGAGATTTGAGACTGGGACAGAGGTTCACCTTCCAGCAGGACAATGCACGCTCAAGTTCTGTTTGTCTTATTTCTTGTTTGTTTCACAATAAAACATATTTTGCATCTTCAAAGTGGTAGGCATGTTGTGTAAATCAAATGATACAAACCCCCAAAAAATCAATTTTAATTCCAGGTTGTAAGGCAACCAAATAGGAAAAATCCCAAGGGGGTGAATACTTTCGCAAGCCACTGTATATGTACAGTTTATGCTGTGCTGTCGCAGAGCCAAAATACACATTTCAGTTTTAAACTCAAACATGGACAAAGTTTACGTTTTTTATTTATTTATTTGTATTTTACCCCCTTTTTCTCCCCAACGGGCTCAGGTGAGGCGAAGGTGGAGTCATGCGTCCTCCGAAACACGACCCGCCTAACCGCGCTCCTTAACACCCGCCAAATTAACCCGGAAGCCAACCGCACCAATGTGCCGGAGGAAACACTGTTCAACTGGCGACAGGGGTCAGCCCGCAGGCAGCCGGCCCGCCACAAGGAGTCGCTAGAGCGCGATGAGCCAAGTAAAGCCCCACCGGCCAAACCCTCCCCCGGACGACGCTGGGCCAATTGTTCACTGTCCTATGGGACTCCCAGGCCACGGCCGGTTGAGGCACAGCCCGGGAATTAACCTGTGTCTGTAGTAACGCCTCTAACGCTGCGATGCAGTGCCTTAGACCGCTGCGCCACTCGGGAGGCCTATGGACAAAGTTTTGAATGTTAAACTTACCGGGCCGGTAAGGTTTCCTCTTCCTTTTCTTGTTGCCGTCGGCGCCCTTGGCCCCCTTGGCGTCGTCATCGACGGGCTCCCGTTCCAGACTGGAGTCCGACTTGATGTCATAGTCCATCAGGAGGTCCCCTTCTGGAATGGAACACAACCACGTCACTAAAATCAGGACCACAGACCAGGGTCTTGTTCATTAGGACACGCAACGGAAAACACTTTCTGCAATGGTAAACTAAAATGAGAATTTCTTGATAATCCCGCTCTATTGCTCCCATTTGGTTCTTAATGAACATGACCCAGCCCTACACATACTACTGACCCACAAAACCCTCAATGCATCTTTGATGGATCTACCATATTGGTGGGCCTGGTGTCAGAGTAAGACATCTGGATGAGGAGCCACATGTACATTAATGTTGGAATTCAAAATGAACCACTTAAACCATTTTAGAGATAACCCTTTTAACAGTATTTCTCAGATTATAAATGCAAATGAGTGGCATCTCCAGGATTTGTTTAATGATTGATGTATATATCTTTTACATATGGGAAATGCACAAATGTACATACTGTATATACACATGATTAGTCTAAGGCTGACTTTTCATTCATATTTCATGAGGTACATGTACTGCACTTAGAGTGGTTGGCTATAACACATACAGACATATCAAAATTGTCCCTAGTACCTGATCACAACCATAGTTCACTGTAAATGCTGATATATACTTCTTCACACTTCAGAACAAGGTTAATTTAATCTTTCTATATTTATGTGCATTGTCATAAACGCATGTACAGTCATGACAACATTATAACATAGTTTTATGTGACGTGTCAAGCAGCTGCTGAAAAGCTCCCTCTAGGCAAGGCTTGAAAATTCGCCCGCTGCGTGAGCTAAATATAGAGGACCAAATATAGAGTGAGCAGGAAAGGGTTAATATCATCATTAGCCCTTGCTTGCACTCTGAGAGCCAGGTTCTGATGAATGGGCTGGGGATTAATTCAGTTAGCCCCGGCCAGCTTCCTCTCATCACCAAAATGCCAATTCAGGTATAATTTGCTGACTGCTGTTTTCAAAAGCCTTTCTTCTCTCTCCAAGTCATATTCATTATATGCCTGCCCTCCTTCCCCCTTCCATTTCCCTTTCTTTCCATCTCTTTCCTCCTCCGTTTCCCTCCTCTTTCCATCTCTTTCCTCCTCTTTCCGACAAATAGGTTCCAGTGCAGAAGTCAAGCATTGCTTTTTTTTTGCCCTTATGTTTTCTGTGCATCTAAATCTAGAGATGAAGGGAACGTTGTTTCCTGGCAAACATCCGCCTTTCCTTTTGACCGTTCAAAAGGAAAGGCCAAGAAAATCTAACTGAAAAGTCTATCCTTAGAAAATGTTCCGGTCCTGGCCAATGCGGAAGAGAAAACCTGAGCTTTTCATCCCAGTTCAAACATATCAATCTACAAGAACAAATTTAAATGTATGTTTAAGACTTCTCAAAACGCCAATAATGGGGTTTATTTGAACAAGCCTCTATTTGTTAAACATTTGTATAACCTTTTAGCCGAGGATGGAGCCCCCGGACCGCTCAAAGTGGGATACCCCCAGCCAACCCATCGTGAACACCTAGAAGTCTTTACCTCGGCTGTCGTCCATGTACCCATCCCCATCCCGGGACAGCTCTGAGTAGTGGGGGTATGGTGGGGTCTGGAGCACAGCCACGCTGTTCTGGTTGATGATCTTCAGCTTGAGCTTGGGTTTGGGCCGCCTGTTCTGCCCTCGGCGGGTCGAGGAAGAGGGCACCACCAGGCTCTGCAGCTGGCACAGGCCAGACTCGGTCAGACACACCCCGTCCTGGGTGTATGTCTTCTGGATGTCTGGAGGTATGGAGGAGGGGTTCATTAAACAATCTACCAAGCGTGTGTTGTGAACTCAAGTTTGTTTGTTATACAAGAAAGATACAAAGTGCAATACTCATGAGTGATTCACTTTTCCCTGCTGCCTCCCACGTACATGTCTAAAACCATATGTGCTAACCATCTTGTTTACAAATACTCATACCGTGGATATTATGTTAGCGAGTCCAACACTCAACGAGCGACAACATTTAAAGAAAGTAATGATTCATTTCATTCACACCACTTGATAAATGGCACCGTGATTTATCAGGGTAGAGCTGGATTACCTGCTTCTCTCGTTTTAGTCACAATCTGGGCCACCATCGGGGCCTCGCAGCCGTCAGATAGGAGGGCCTCCACTTTGCCTGAATGACAAATATGCAAAGGGATTTGGAGGATTTAGATTTCAGTGCATTGAAGTCATACACGGCAGTAATATGTACATGAAACAAATAAATGCATCAAACTGCAACCACTGGATTCTACAGCTGCCACCAAATGTAAAGAATACTTTTTTTATTTTAATTTTTACGTTATTCAATTATATAATTGAGATTTAATTCATTAATTTCATTATTTAAATAAGACTATCTCTACCTCCCTTTTTCCATCACTCCCTCTCTATTTTCTCTGAGGTAAAATCTGTCCCCAATTTTAGGAATTATGAGTGAACAGGCTGCAGCTTGATTTTTAATTCTAGCCATCTGCTGTCATAATGAACAGCCCATATTTGGCTGAGGCTGGTCCCATTAACAAAAATAGAGGATGCCTTTGGGCTAATTGAGTGGAGCTGGTTGTGTTCATTGAGATGAGCTTGGGAACACTGTACACTACAGTACATTTAAGACCTTACACATAGGATGTACAACTAAGCTGTGTTCGAATACCTATACTAACATACTGTATACTACATACTTAACGAGTATACTACATACTATTAATACATTTGAGTATACTGTAAACGAACGGTATACTTTCAGTTGAGCGTACTAGAGCTTCACCTGTCTACCGGAAGTTGATGCTGTTGCTATGCAACTTCTTGCTAGCCTGTTAGCATAACAAATTACTAGCTAGACATCTTACAACTTCATTAACAATGTCCATTGAGAACGCACAGCGACTACACCACTTAGCTAAGCTAAGAATGACGTGAATAATCAAGTCAATAAACGTTGGGTAGTTAGTTAGATAGCATATAGTTAATATACTGGCAATTTCTATGTATTAGTAGCCAACTAACGTTAGGTAGCTAGCTACCATACTGGTACATACAGTACAAGCAACTGCTGTAATGATATGCTATGCGATTCGTAAGGCTAGAGTAGCTAACAAATTGTCAGCCAACATAACGTGTGACGAAACTTATTTGAAAAGTAATTACTTTATTACATTGCTCTACACCTTAACATTTGTCATAATTAGTTAAAGCAATGAATTTGTATCCTCTCTCGTCGGACTTCGGCTGCATATTTTCTGCCATTTTCTTCAAATCTGAAAATGTTGTGAAGCCACGCCTATTTTCTGAAGAATTGCATTATGGGCCCTAAAAGCATGTAAATAGTGTCCAATGCTTGTATACTTCGTATTTTGGCGAATGTAGTACAACATCCGGGAACTTTTGGCATACTAACTATATTCATACTATGACCAATAAGCATACTACATACTCAATTTACGTCACAAATAGTATGGTTAGTGCAGTTAGTATGAGTACACAGCTCAAGTCACTACAACTAGTCATGATGCAAAGGGGTGTATTTACAGCAACTTTCTACCAAATCGGCTCCCGTTAATTTGATGAAGACTTGTACACACTTTATATAGCTTTCACCATTCACCTTGTAAGGTATTGGCTTATAATCATACACATAGCTTTCACCGTGTGTGGGCTAGGTCTGGAGTCTTACCCTGTGAAGGCAGAGCGTGCATTCGACACATGGTGCAGTCAAAGCCATCATCTGCTGCATTCTCTACATCCTTATCTGTGTTCAGGCCCTGGCAGCAGGCGTGGATCCACCTGAGATGTGAAGGAGAAGACGATCAGATACATTTACATATGCACTTTATACGTGCAATTTAATATGTACATGTACAGTGGGGGGGAAAAGTATTTAGTCAGCCACCAATTGTGCAAGTTCTCCCACTTAAAAAGATGAGAGATGTCTGTAATTTTCATCATAGGTACACGTCAACTATGACAGACAATGAGAGGAAAAAAAAAAATTCAGGAAATCACATTGTAGGATTTCTAATGAATTTATTTGCAAATTATGGTGGAAAATAAGTATTTGGTCAATAACAAAAGTTTCTCAATACTTTGTTATATACCATTTGTTGGCAATGACACAGGTCAAACGTTTTCTGTAAGTCTTCACAAGGTTTTCACACACTGTTGCTGGTATTTTGGCCCATTCCTCCATGCAGATCTCCTCTAGAGCAGTGATGTTTTGGGGCTGTCGCTGGGCAACACGGACTTTCAACTCCCTCCAAAGATTTTCTATGGGGTTGAGATCTGGAGACTGGCTAGGCCACTCCAGGACCTTGAAATACTTCTTACGAAGCCACTCCTTCGTTGCCCAAGCGGTGTGTTTGGGATCATTGTCATGCTGAAAGACCCAGCCACGTTTCATCTTCAATGCCCTTGCTGATGGAAGGAGGTTTTCACTCAAAATCTCACGATACATGGCCCCATTCATTCTTTCCTTTACATGGATCAGTCGTCCTGGTCCCTTTGCAGAAAAACAGCCCCAAAGCATGATGTTTCCACCCCCATGCTTCACAGTAGGTATGGTGTTCTTTGGATGCAACTCAGCATTCTTTGTCCTCCAAACACGACGAGTTGAGTTTTTACCAAAAAGTTATATTTTGGTTTCATCTGACCATATGACATTCTCCCAATCCTCTTCTGGATCATCCAAATGCACTCTAGCAAACTTCAGACGGGCCTGGACATGTACTGGCTTAAGCAGGGGGACACGTCTGGCACTGCAGGATTTGAGTCCCTGGCGGCGTAGTGTGTTACTGATGGTAGGCTTTGTTACTTTGGTCCCAGCTCTCTGCAGGTCATTCACTAGGTCCCCCGTGTGGTTCTGGGATTTTTGCTCACTGTTCTTGTGATCATTTTGACCCCACGGGGTGAGATCTTGCGTGGAGCCCCAGATCGAGGGAGATTATCAGTGGTCTTGTATGTCTTCCATTTCCTAATAATTGCTCCCACAGTTGATTTCTTCAAACCAAGCTGCTTACCTATTGCAGATTCAGTCTTCCCAGCCTGGTGCAGGTCTACAATTTTGTTTCTGGTGTCCTTTGACAGCTCTTTGGTCTTGGCCATAGTGGAGTTTGGAGTGTGACTGTTTGAGGTTGTGGACAGGTGTCTTTTATACTGATAACAAGTTCAAACAGGTGCCATTAATACAGGTAACGAGTGGAGGACAGAGGAGCCTCTTAAAGAAGAAGTTACAGGTCTGTGAGAGCCAAGAATCTTGCTTGTTTGTAGGTGACCAAATACTTATTTTCCACCATAATTTGCAAATAAATTCATTAAAAATCCTACAATGTGATTTTCTGGATTTTTTTCCCCTCATTTTGTCTGTCATAGTTGACGTGTACCTATGATGAAAATGACAGGCCTCTCTCATCTTTTTAAGTGGGAGAACTTGCACAATTGGTGGCTGACTAAATACATTTTTTCCCCCACTGTATATGTCATGCAATTTGAACATATACAAGTGTAAATACACAGTGAGACAGGTGCACAAAGACACATAAACAAGCACTTATCTATGCACTCACTCACACAGACTCTGATATGCATTAACCCGGTTGCTACAGCAACGATATGTTCCACCCCATCAAGCTTTACGATGAGTAAATTACAATGTAGTAGATCTTTGGACTGTTGCCTTTGACAAACTGGACGCTGGATGCCAACATGCTATATCTACAGTCTTGCCAGGTCCTAGTGCCACCAAATCATTCTCGGGTGGCATCTGGCCTGGCAGAGAGAGCACTGCCCACCTGTCACAATGGCGGCATTGCACGATGAGCTCGTCCTCACGGTAGCTGCGCGTGCACATCGGGCATGATGCCATGCTGGCACAGGGGCTGCACTGGGTGTAGTTGTTCTGCCAATCACACCTCAGGCCGGGGGATGTGGCACCGCACTGGGTACAGGAGACACACCTACGGCAGGTGGGAGAGAGGGTGGCGTGAGGGGGCGAGGATAAGCAGGGGTGAAATACACACATACAATCGCAGTGACTCCAGTATATCTAGCATACATCCCAACACAGACGTGTCCAAAGATAATGCACTTGTATCACACACATCCAGTGCCTTTAGAAAGTATTCACACCTCTTGACTTATTCCACATTTTGTTGTTACAGCCTGAATTCAAAATTGATTGAATATATGTTTTTCCTCACCCATCTACATACAATACCCCATAATGACAAAGTGAAAACATGTTTTTAGAAATGCTTGAAAATGTATTGAAAATGAAATACAGAAAAGTATTCACACCCGAGTCGATACTTTGTAGAAGCACCTTTGGAAGCGATTACAGGTTTGAGTCGTCTTGGGTATGTCTGTATCAGCTTTGCACATCTGGATTTGGGGATTTTGTCCCATTCTTCCTTGCAGATTATCTCATGCTCTGTTAAATTAGATGGGGAGTGGCAGTGAACAGCAATCTTTCCACAGACTTTCAAATGGGACTTTCGCATTCTTGTTCTGAAGCCATTCCAGCGTTGCTTTGGCTGTATGCTTGGGGTCATTGTTCTGTTGGAATGTAAATCTTTGCCCAATTCTAAGGTCGTTTGCACTCTGAAGCAGGTTCTCATTAAGTATTTGCCTGTATTTGGCTCCATTCATTGTTCCCTCTATCCTTACCAGTCTCCAGTCCCTGTCGCTGAAGGCCCTCAAAATTGTCAAAGACTCCAGCCCCCCTAGTCATAGACTGTTCTCTCTGCTACCGCACGGTAAGCGGTACCGGAGCGCCAAGTCTAGGTCCAAAAGGCTTCTCAACAGCTTCTACCCCCAAGCCATAAGACTCCTGAACAACTAATCATGGCTACCCGGACTATTTGCACTGCCCCCCCCACCCCATCTTTTTACGCTCCTGCTACTCCGTTAATTATTTATGCATAGTCACTTTAACTCTACCCACATGTACATATTACCTCAACTAGCCGGTGCCCCCATACATTGACTCTGCACCGGTACCCCCCTGTATATAGCCTCCCTACTGTTATTTTATTTCTGCTCTTTTTTTCTCTCAACACTTTGTTATTGTTGTTGCTTTATTTTACTTTTTTATAAAAAATAAATGCATTGTTGGTTAAGGGCTGTAAGTAAGCATTTCACGGTAATGTCTACACCTGTTTTATTCGGCGCATGTGGCAAATAAAATTTTATTTGATTTGAAAAGCATCCCCATATCCTGATGCTGCCACCACCATGCTTCACGGTAGGAATGGTGTTTGACGGGTGATGAGCTGTGCCTGGTTTTCTCCAGACATAGCGCTTTGCATTCATGCCAAAGAGCCCAGAGAATCTTTTCCTTATGCTTGCAGTCTTTCTGCAAATTCCAGGCATGCTGTCATGTGCTTTATTTCTCAGGAGTGGCTTCCGTCTGGCCACTCTCCAATGAAGACCAGATTGGTGAAGTTCTGTAGACTAACTCAGCCAAGGAACTCTGTAGTTCTGTCAGAGTGGTCATTGGGTTCTTGGTCACCTCTCCCTGAAAAAGGTCCTTCATGCCCGGTTGCTCAGTTTGGTCGGACGGCCAGCTCTAGGCAGAGTCTGGGTAGTTCCATATTTTTTCAATTTCCCAATGATGGAGACCCACTGTGTTATTGGAAACGTTTAACACTCTAGAAATTAGTGTCTACCCTTCCCCAGATATATGCCTCATCACAATTCTAGCTCGAAGATATACGGACAGTTCCTTGGACTTTATGATATATTTTCTACTCTGACATGCTCTGTCAACTATGGGACCTTATATAGACAGGTGTGTTTCTTTCTAAACCATGTCCAAACAATTGAATTGGCCACAGGTGGACTCCAATCAAGTTGTAGTGACATCTCAAGGATGAGCCAAATAAATGTATGGATGTACCTGAGCACAATTTGGAGTGTCATAAAGGGATGTGAATATATATTTCTGTATTACATTTTTAATAAATATGTGTTACGGATATAAGTATCCTGTATGTGTTTTTCCTCTCCTTCTGCCCTAATCACAGGTGTCCTTTGTGTTCCTGATTGGAGGTCGTTGGTGTGTCCCAACTGTCAGTCATCAGTTAATCTGCTGATTGCTGAGGTGGACCAATCAGTGGACATTTCTCCTGATTGCACCACCTGTTTCTGTTTTCTAACCCAATCATATCACACATCCCCTTGTTTTAAAAGCTAGTCAGTTGTGTTTTCTGAGAGAGACTCTGTTTGTGAGTATGTATACGGTGGTGTCTTGTTTTTGTGTACTCACTCGTTAACTGTTTAGTCCGTATGGTACCTATATTGTTTGTTTGTGCCTGGGAAAAGGGGGATTTAGCAAGTCGCCCTTGGGCATACACTACCCGTAGGAAAACCTTGTCTAAACACACTAGTTAGACCTGAGCGGACCACCCACTGTATTTTTGTATGGTTAGCAGTAAGCTTAGTAGTTCTTGAGGCAGGCAAGATCAGTTTAGGGGTTTATGACTTTGTTTCATTCCTTGGGTCCTGCTCAGCCCTTTTTCCCAAACCTTTACCGTGTGTTTTATAATAAACATTTTGTGTTTGACGGTAGCTTATGGTTGTCGGTGTATTTTGTTCTAAATGTTCCTTGGCAATATTCTGATTCGCATGAGTTATGTTACGGGCCTCTTTTCCATTCACCCTAGACTTTTAAAGCCACGGGGTTCGTAACAATGTGCAAACATTTCTAAAAACATGTTTACACTTAGTCATTATGGAGAATTGTGTTTAATGGGTGAGAAAAAAAATCTACTTAATCCATTTAGAATTCAGGCTGTAACAAAATGTGGAATAAGTCAATACTGTCTGAAGGCAGTGTAAATACTGTTCATCCAAGCAAACCTGAGGGTAAACATAGACACACAAACCTACTATGAACTTCAAAATAACCCACTTCAGTTACGCTATCTGATATATACCACACACGCACACATTTGTCACGTGTGTGTGTGTGTGTGTATGGATCATCCACCATGAAAACAGCTGCCCTAAAAATAAATATATGTCACTGGCGGGGCTCCAAGGAAAGTCCTGAATGAATGCGTCTCGCTGCAGTGTCAACAGAGTGTTGTTTGACTGGGGATTAGGGACTGATGTTATGCCTAATATGGGGGACATCCCTCCCTATCGCGGCTGAAAACAGCTGCTAAAGCTCTGCTACAGATCAACAACGTGTGACAGAGAGAAAAAATAATGTTGATGTACAGTCATGGTCAAAAGTTTTGAGAATGACACAAATATTAATTTTCACAAAGTCTGCTGCCTCAGTTTTTATGATGGCAAATTGCATATACTCCAGAATGTTATGAAGAGTGATCAGAGTCCCTCTTTGCCATGAAAATGAACTTAATCCCCAAAAAACATTTCCACTGCATTTCAGCCCTGCCACAAAAGGACCAGCTGACAACATGTCAGTGATTCTGTCATTAACACAGGTGAGTGTGTTGACGAGGACAAGGCTGGAGATATCTGTCATGCTGATTGAGTTAGAATAACAGACTGGAAGCTTTAAAAGGAGGGTGGTGCGTGAAATCATTGTTCTTCCTCTGTTAACCATGGTTACCTGCAAGGAAACACGTGCCGTCATCATTGCTTTGCACAAAAAGGGCTTCACAGGCAAGGATATTGCTGTTAGTAAGATTGCACCTAAATCAACCATTTATCGGATCATCAAGAACTTAAAAGGAGAGAGGTACAGTTGTTGTGAAGGCGGCTTCAGGGCGCCCAAGAAAGTCCAGCAAACGCCAGGACCGTCTCCTAAAGTTGATTCAGCTGCGGAATCGGGGCACCAACAGTGCAGAGCTTGCTCAGGAATGGCAACAGGCAGGTGTGAGTGCATCTGGATGGCCTGGTGTCAAGAAGGGCAGCGAGGAAGCCACTTCTCTCCAGGAAAAACATCAGGGACAGCGAGACGCAGCGAGAGAGCGAGAGAGACGCAGCGAGAGAGCGAGAGAGACGCAGCGAGAGAGCGAGAGAGACGCAGCGAGAGAGCGAGAGACGCAGAGTGAGAGCGAGAGACGCAGAGTGAGAGCAAGAGAGACACAGAGTGAGAGCGAGAGAGAGGCAGAGAGAGAGCGAGAGAGAGGCAGAGAGAGAGCGAGAGAGACGCAGAGAGAGAGATGGATGAGAAGATACATTATAGAGATGGAGAGATATCAACAGATGAGATACTAAGGGAAAGAATAGAGACAGACAAAAAAACAAATTATCTTCATTCTAAAAACATTAGACAGCATCATTGGTGCAGCCAGACAAGCTCTGATGCTTTGATTGGCTGTGCTGTGCTCTATGATTAGCAGCAGTCACGACATATACACACCACTTGCACTTCCAGCTGCCCTTGGGCACCGTCTGCAGGGGTGGGTCCAGGCAGTAGGTGTGGTAGCTGATGTCACAGTCGTCACACAGCAGCAGGCGGCCCGGGTCGCTGGCCTGGCCGCACGCCTCGCACACCGTGCACTCCAGACAGCGCCAGCCTTTACTCAGCACCACCCGGGTGATCTGGTGGCACAGGGGGCAAAGGTAGAGGTCAGAGAGGGGATAAAGGGGCAAGGCAGGGATAGGAATCCCCTTTAAGGTCCATTTCAATGGAGCATATTGACTAATGGTTGTGTGTTCTATATTTACATAGCAGGGGAATAATCAAATCTCTAGTTCCCAGCAGCACATCTTCCAGGTTAAAGGTCATTGCTGAGCTATTTGTCAAAAGGGACACACAGGTATTTATTAGCCAATAAACCATGGAGGGGGAGGGAGGATCAAACCAATTCGAGAAAGACCTTCCTCCCCCACCCATTATGTGCTGAAAGCCAGACAACAAATACCATAGGATACCACATAAAGCTGACGTTGGTCGAACGTGGGTCGATTTCCACTTGCATAGTTTAGCCACCCAGATTAAACATACTCCTAGACTAAAAAGCATAGTTAATGGGCATCTCCATTATAAGTGCTTTTTATTTCAGTACTCAATCTGGGTGAGGTATTTAGAGATTGCATAGTAAACAGTTAACCAATATCATTACCCAATCACTCCTAACTGTATCATGGCTTAGTTCTTATAAGCACCACTAAACACCACTTTGTGCCAGTAGGCCACCGATTCCATTGGATCCGGCAGACCGAAACGGCTGCCACAAAAGATACTTATTCTCACCATGTTGTCAATAACGGGTACATATCTCTTTTACTAGCCTTGTAATAAAAATGAATAAAAATTACAACCAAGCAGCCAATGTGTATAGCCGTGAGTGAAATGTACAGTCAGTCACACTAAGTGCTGCTGAGCGCGCTTGGCTGCCGAGGGCAATTAGCCGTTTCGCTAGCTAGCAGGGGCCATCAATAATGCCGTCTCCATCATTCCCGTCCATTAGCTTCCGCCAGTGCGTCGCGGTGCTGCTAACATCAAATCGGGCTAATCACTGTGTTAGCTGGGATGGGTGCGATTGGCTGGCAGAGGCAGGCGTGATGTTGAAGAAAACGTGTGTGCGTGAGTCTGATAGGCTCCCAATTATTGAATGCTTTTTTTTTTTCAGGGGGAGAGATTAAAGGGGGGTGGGTACATTCTATATTTAGGGGCCAATTCACTGAATACATTGAGGCAAAATAGGCATGAGGGTGGCCTGCATATGATTATCATAAAAGTACAACTTCTATACATACTATGGATTTTATTTTAGCGGTTTTGTTCCAACTAGAATGGAATATGACAATGTTAGGCAAGCCGGCTTGGAGTGTCAACTGCTTGAGGTGATATTTGTAAAAAACGTAACACTATATCAAAGGAAACTGTCTTAGGCCCTTATTTGTCTGCCAGAGGGGGTGTCATTGCAGGGATAAGGCTTGGCGTGGCGATAAATTCATGATCAATCCATCGAGGTGGCAGGAAGCTTAGTGGTTAAGAGCGTTGTGCCAGTAACCGAAAGGTCGCTGGTTCTAATCCCGAGCCGACTAGGTGAAAAATCTGTCGATGTGCCCTTGAGCAAGGCACGTAACCCTAATTGCTCATGTAAGTCGCTCTGGATAAGAGCGTCTGCTAAATGACAAAAAAATTAAATAAAAAATAAGACAATCCACACAAGGTGCTTAAAGTGAAACCTGTTAATCATCCCAGTATTTATTTGACACCTTGGCTCAAAGCTGCTTGGGGAGGTTGACACAGAGCCTAATACAATCTGTAGGGAATCCCCTGGCGAATACGCTAAAACCAAACTATGCATACATGTAGCCGCAGAGACTAAATGTTGCTGTTTTAAAGCTAATTTCCTGCAATTTTACACATTTTGCCATGGGGCGGAGAGAATATTTTTCAATTTTGAAGTTAGTTTCCTGCAATTCTACACATTGTGTCATGGGGTTGAGAGAACATTTTATCATTTTAAAGCTAGTTTCCTGCAATTCTACAAATTTTGACATGGCTTATGCCGTGTTCTTATGCCATCAAAATCAATGGGGGGGCCCCCATGCCATGCGAAATTTAGTGGAAACGCTGCAGTGTTTATATACAGTGAGGGAAAAAAGTATTTGATCCCCTGCTGATTTTGTAAGTTTGCCCACTGACAAAGAAATGATCAGTCTATAATTTTAATGGTAGGTTTATTTGAACAGTGAGAGACAGAATAACAACAACAAAATCCAGAAAAACTTATGTTAAAAATATTATAAATTGATTTGCATTTTAGTAAGGGAAATAAGTATTTGACCCCTCTGCAAAACATGACTTAGTACTTGGTGGCAAAACCCTTGTTGGCAATCACAGAGGTCAGACGTTTCTTGTAGTTGGCCACCAGGTTTGCACACGTCTCAGGAGGGATTTTGTCTCACTCCTCTTTGCAGATCTTCTCCAAGTCATTAAGGTATCGAGGCCGATGTTTGGCAACTCGAACCTTCAGCTCCCTCCACAGATTTTCTATGGGATTAAGGTCTGGAGACTGGCTAGGCCACTCCAGGACCTTAATGTGCTTCTTCTTGAGCCACTCCTTTGTTGCCTCGGCCGTGTGCTTTTTGTCATTGTCATGCTGGAATGCCCATCCACGACCCATTTTCAATGCCCTGGCTGAGGGAAGGAGGTTCTCACCCAAGATTTGACGGTACATGGCCCCGTCCATCGTCCCTTTGATGCGGTGAAGTTGTCCTGTCCCCTTAGCAGAAAAACACCCCGAAAGCATAATGTTTCCACCTCCATGTTTGACGGTGGGGATGGTGTTCTTGGGGTCATAGGCAGCATTCCTCCTCCTCCAAACACGGCGAGTTGAGTTGATGCCAAAGAGCACGATTTTGGTCTCATCTGACCACAACACTTTCACCCAGTTCTCCTCTGAATCATTCAGATGTTCATTGGCAAACTTCAGAAGGGCCTGTATATGTGCTTTCTTGAGCAGGGGGACCTTGCGGGCGCTGCAGGATTTCAGTCCTTCACGGCGTAGTGTGTTACCAATTGTTTTCTTGATGACTATGGTCCCAGCTGCCTTGAGATCATTGACAAGATCCTCCCATGTAGTTCTGTGCTGATTCCTCACCGTTCTCATGATCATTGCAACTCCACAAGGTGAGATCTTGCATGGAGCCCCAGGCCAAGGGAGATTGACAGTTATTTTGTGTTTCTTCCATTTGCGAATAATCGCACCAACTGTTGTGACCTTCTCACCAAGCTGCTTGGCGATGGTCTTGTAGCCCATTCCAGCCTTGTGTAGGTCTACAATCTTGTCCCTGACATCCTTGGAGAGCTCTTTGGTCTTGGCCATGGTGGAGAGTTTGGAATCTGATTGATTGATTGCTTCTGTGGACAGGTGTCTTTTATACAGGTAACAAACTGAGATTAGGAGCACTCCCTTTAAGAGTGTGCTCCTAATCTAATCTCATTACCTGTATAAAAGACAGCTGGGAGCCAGAAATCTTTCTGATTGAGAGGGGGTCAAATACTTATTTCCCTCATTAAAATGCAAATCAATTTATTAAAAAAATGATATGCGTTTATCTGGATTTTTTTGTTGTTATTCTGTCTCTCACTGTTCAAATAAACCTACCATTAAAATTATAGACTGATAATTTCTTTGTCAGTGGGCAAACGTACAAAATCAGCAGGGGATCAAATACTTTTTTCCCTCACTGTATACATCCTTGGTTGTGGATAATCATTTGAGAGATACTGTAGGTCTGGTATAGGAAATAGAAGGGCTCACCTTGACATTGACACAGAAGGGGTGGTAACACTGGCCACACTGGGAGCAGGCCAGCAACCTGCCCTCTGCCCCCTGGCCAAAACTACCACACACCACACACATGTCCTGTAGAAGGGAGAGAGGGGGAGGAGGGGAGAGGGGAGAGTAGAGAAAGAAAGGGAAGTAGACAGAGGGAAAGAAGGAGGTAGGGAGAGAAATATGGAGGGGGTGGGGTCAAGAGAGGGAGCAGGGGAGTGAGAGAAAAGGATGTGGAAGGAGAGAGCGCATAAGTTGTGAGGAAAATAACAGGCAAACATAAAACAGAGAGAAAACAAGAGAAAGTTAAATGTCTCAACAATAATGTGGACACTTTCCCGGGCATACATAAACACGCAGTAACAAGCAGCGGGACTCGGGATACTTTCTTCTTCCACGACACAGCGCCTCTTAAGAGCCTTACCTCACAGCAGGATTCATCTGTGTCTTAGGGGTGTGTGTGTGCGAGCGCGTGAGCATGTCCGTGTGTGTGTGTGTGTGTGTGTGTGTGTGTGTGTTTGTGCACACGCGAGGAGAGGTCGCAACCTCCAAAACAGGCCAGATGCAAATCAGGGTAAAAAGTTGGCGGAGAAAATGAGAGAGTTCTAGTAAACAGGCTGTCCAACAAGGCCAAGAAGAGACTATAATAGCATCATCATACAAAATGATCGTCTCTAATAGCTGAAGTATTTTTTCATCCGCACGCATATTCAAATATGTACAGTAGGGCTGACCCCATTTAGTCGATTGTTTGGTTGCCCGAGATTTCTTTAGTCGAGCAGTTGCAATTATTATTTTATTCTTTCATGGTCCACAAGACGTGTCTGATTCACGCCTGTCTCAGTGGACTAATCCATTGCGGAGGCCACGGGGAAGGCACAGTCCATCACTCTAAGGCATGTGATATTGAAATTGTTTATGGTTATGTTATGTAAAAAAGAATGGTGCAACACTAATAAATGGAATATTATTTTATAACAAATGCGCTTTTTCCCGCATTGGATATGGTCGCTGTCAGTGGTTCTGAAACAATCTTCAGTGCGCCGTAGAATTGGCCGCCTTTCCCTATGTTGCTATGTGCATAATATCAAAGTTAACCAGCATATTGGGATTGAGAACAATGTGGCGGAGGCAGCAGCAGCACAGACGGGGAAACAACCCTTGCCTTAGCCTAATTGTCTAAGAAAATTTAGGAGAGGGGAAACTCCAAATTAATTAGGTCTATAATCAATAGCCTAACTGTTAAATGTGCCTGGCTTTATAAATCATCCATATATATCCACAGAAATAAGACAGATCTTGCTTATGTTGCTTGTTTGAGTGTTTGTTTAATAGCCTACTGATTCCGTGAGCACCAAGCCTCATGCAACGGAAACATTTTGGATAAAGCAATTTTACAGATTCGGCTGTTTATAAACTTTGCTACGCTGTAATAAAGGCTTTACCATGTAGCTCTCGCTCCTATACCCTCCTTTTTCTTGATCTCTTTCTTATTGTTACAATTATTATGGTCATCATTGTAATAATAAATAATGTCGTTATCATTAGTAGGCTTTGTATAGCAGCATTGTATAGCCAGCATCGAGCTATAGGCTTCAGAGCGCGTCCTGTTTAGTCTTAATACTTACTTACACCTATATTTCAATATATAGGCTACTGTATCAATCAATCAATCAATCATTCATTCATTCATGCCAGCACACAGCATACGAGACATTCATGCTTTGAAATGCAATCAAGCATTTTAGTTTTAAAATTAAATTAGTCTGCTGTAATAAAGGCTTTTTCATTTTTTTCGTTAGAACCGTCTCTCTTGGTACACTTATTTAGTGTTGTTTACACTGTTCCAAATGGTCCGAAAAAAATGTAATAATCTAACAGCAACTGTTTGACACACATAATACTCATGGAACGCTTGCTCCTATAGCCTCCATTTTCTTGATCTCCAGTAATTTCTACAATTAAGTCAAATGTCTTCCACAGATCTGACTTCCCCTTTCCCTCCTGAGCAACCAGCAAACATTCGCCCAGTCTGAGTTTATTTTTCACGTCCTCCGCATCCATTTTGCTGTGACGTGTTACTGTGTTCAGAGTTTGTTATAACCAATTTCTTGATGTGTTTATGATAGGCTATAGGTCAGGACCCATTGGTCACATGCATGCGATGCTTACATGTTTCAAATCAAATCAAATCAAATTTTATTGGTCACATGCGCCGAATACAACAGGTGCAGACATTACAGTGAAATGCTTACTTACAGCCCTTAACCAACAGTGCATTTATTTTAAACAAAAAAGTAAGAATAAAACAACAACAAAAAAGTGTTGAGAAAAAAAGAGCAGAAGTAAAAATAAAGTGACAGTAGGGAGGCTATATATACAGGGGGGTACCGTTGCATAGTCAATGTGCAGGGGCACCGGCTAGTTGAGGTAGTTGAGGTAATATGTACATGTGGGTAGAGTTAAAGTGACTATGCATAAATACTTAACAGAGTAGCAGCAGCGTAAAAAGTATGGGGTGGGGGGGCAGTGCAAATAGTCCGGGTAGCCATGATTAGCTGTTCAGGAGTCTTATGGCTTGGGGGTAGAAGCTGTTGAGAAGTCTTTTGGACCTAGACTTGGCACTCCGGTACCGCTTGCCGTGCGGTAGCAGAGAGAACAGTCTATGACTAGGGTGACTGGAGTCTTTGACAATTTTCACATAACGGGAGCAAGGGTTGAGGGTATAGGGAATGTTTTTCCCTTGAGGGTATAGGGAATGTTTTTCCCTAAACAAATTAGGGATTTCGGTAACATAACTTTTCGGTCAGAAACAAGTAAGAAACTAAATGGCTGAAATGATGTTGCAGCTTCAGCACGGACAGTGCAATAAACACTTGCTGTGCTGTGGTACCTTTTCGCTGCAGTAGGGAGGAGAGCGAGACAACATGAACATGATGACAATATTTAATCAAATAGTGTGCTTTAAGCATCAGACAAGCTCAGTGCATATCTAGTTGATTTTATTCAAACACAGGGTGTGTGTCTATGTATGGAAAAATAAGGTTAAACATTTCGATTGGTCGAAACAGGACGACTCTCAGTCGACCAAGATTTGGTTTTGGTCGGGGACAGCCCTAATGTACAGTACAGTATTTGGGTATGTGAGACATTGTTAACAGGCTTTAGGCCTATTCAACAGACGCAGCTTGACCAGGGAGGAAGCGTCCTATTGTCCTCCTTATTAAAGTGACCAGTCACCACTGCTATACAGAGCCTTTTCTAAGGAAGACAAGAAGGATTTGACAGTAGAGAGACAGCGAGGGGAGTTAAGATACACAGCTTTAAGCAACACACACAGAGACACACAAGCTGGGACTTTGATGGCACAAAGTGTCAATGCTCTATCGTTTCAGTGATGTATAATGGTACTGACCTGTCTGAGAGTGAAGTGGTCTGAGGTTGAGAACATGACCACAGTGTTGTGCATGGCGTTCTCCTCCTCCTCTTTCATCGCGTACAGCTGCTCCACAAAGCTGGCCTGGAGACACACACACGGACACAGACATGTACGGACACACACAAGCAAGGGTTGATTAACAGATTATTAGAAAAAATATTGAAATTAAAACAGATGGTAAGATTGTGTTTAAAATCTGTAAAGTTGAGATAAAAAATTAAATAGCGCTTGGTCCCATACAGTATTTTTCAATTGAGGTAGAAAATATCTCCCAGGAATAGGCCTGATCTACGTCTAGGACATGGAAGACGTTCTCATGTGACCAGCTGTCACACCTCCAGACTGTGTGTCAATATATTATTATGTCATCCACAGTGACAAACAGGCAGCAGGGTTCATCATCTCAGCATTACCATGCCGCCCAAGTGTCAACATGCAGGCTGCCTAGTGGCTGGCTGAACAGATCTGGTTACAATATTACTCCTACCTACCACCTACCTCCCGTATTGGATTGGATTCCAATAACACTCAACCAGGCCAAGACATGTTTGCTCGGTGGGAGAAGGTGTGATTGTGTGTGTCGGGGGAGGTTGTGTGTAAGGGGGAGACTGTGTGTAAGGTTGTGTGTGCGCGCGCTCTCACCTAAAATCTAACTATCTAGCTCGTACACTCAATACAGAATTGACACTTTTTCTGTGTCTACCTTAAAGGTGCCCACAATGTATAGTATATAAATCCATGTTGAACACATTTTCCGCATCAACCACCCACAGTTTTTAGTGGGTGGTTGTCAGTTCCCTGCCCACCGCCATATATAAAATAGCATCTCTCCCCACCACCCCTCCTCCCTCCCTACCACCCCTCATGCCAAAAGCTTTCCGTGCTTGAGTGTACTGTTCTCTTGCTAATATGAGAGCGCTCTCTAGGCTAAGCTAAGCACATTTGGCCACTGTTTTATTAATATATGCAGAGGAGGAGGGAGGGCAGAGAGAGGGAGGGGATGGAGGGAGGCGGTGGAGGGGGGGGTGAGGGCTCCTACCACAGGGGTCACGGCGGGGATGGTGTCGACTTTGAGTCCTCGGGAGCGTCCGCGGCCCCCGCGCCCAGACAGGCTGGCCCCGCGGGGCCTCCGCCTTCCAGGGAAGCCAGAACCACGACCCTGTGTGGGAGAGAGAGGGCAGGATAAAAGAGTGAGGGGGGAGAGAGACATTAAGACAGGAGCGAGAGGAGAGAGTGTGAGGAGAGAGCAAGACAGGAGGGAGAGAGTGTGAGGAGAGAGAGACAAGAGGGTGAGGAGTTTGTGTGTGTGTGTGTGGAGGGAAGAGAATGTCAGAGAGAGCAAAACAGTAACAAAGAATGGAGAAATAGGAAGAGGGGAATGGAACAGAGAAAAGAAAGAGTGCAGAATTAGATAAGAGGAGACATGGCATACGAGAGGGGAGAGAGGAAGGAGAGAGAGGGGAAGAGAAAGAAGAGAGAGGGTAGAGAGGAAGGAGAGAGGGGAGAGAGGAAGGAGAGAGGGAAAGAGGAAGGAGAGAGTTAAAGAGGAAGGAGAGAGATGGAAAGAGGAAGGAGAGAGAGGAAGGAGAGAAAGAGAGGAGAGACAGGGAAAGAGAAAGGAGTGAAAGGAAAAGAGGAGCAAGCGCGCACGAGTGAGCGAGAGGGAGGTATGAAGTGTGTATATACTGTAACTGATATGAGACCACACGTCGTTCAGATCAGTGATAGATTGAAGTATAATAATTGAGCCATGTTGTGAAGCAGCTGTTGTGAAGGAGTTTTATCTTTACCTTGTTAGCTCAGACAGGACGACATAACAGTGGAGTTTATGAACTCATCAGAGCGTGCGCGAGAGAGGAGCTTGTTGTGGAGCGTTAGCGTCAAAGTGGATTAATGTCACAATGTCAGGACTAAAGGGTTGCGGTGGGGGTGACAGACAGGGGGGTCTGGGGTAGCCTGGATATCCAGACTGTATTGAGCTCTGTTTCACGTTTGTTTCACTCTAATATCAGTCTGGGATTCCTGTTGTCCCGGCAATGCTAACAAAGCTAAATGCTTACTACATCTCTGCAGGTGGCACCATGTGCTGTGTCACGTCCTAACCTGTCCCCACCTGGCCAGGCTAAACCACTGAGTGAAAGGGAGGGAGGGGGGGTTGGACATGGACATCATAAGAGCACTCCATTTACCACTCTCATGCTCCAGACGGGCGCCTCCTGCAGCTGCCTGTTTTTTGGGCCGTCCCACCCCCCCTCTGAGGGGTCCTGCTGGGACCAAGAGGGAGGGCTCACTGCCCTACGGTTACTCCATGCACCCTGATTGGGGGAGGGGTGGGGGTAGGAGGAAGAGGGGTTGGGAGTGGGAGGGGAGGGGACAAAATGCAGCAACATAAATGCAATAGCCAAATAAAAATGTCAAACAAAGCAAACCAAGCAACAAAATAAAAGGTTATACATGACATTATTAAAAAAAGCCAAGAAACCAGTGAGATATGAAACGTTTGGGACAGATCCTATACATGAGAGGAGGAGGGTAAGCTGAATTCACCTCAATTTCGAGATTCAGTACAATTCAATTTGGAAATCGGTTCCAATCAAAAGGGAGATTGTGGAAAACCCTAAGATTCAATATCGATGTCAGCAAAAAGAGGGTCAAGTTCAATAGTCGGAGAGAAGATGAGACATTGTACGTTTGCACATCCACTGCTTCCAATAATGCTACGCCTAGTCAAGCACTCTGCAACAGTCGGTCCACAACTCCACACTATCCAGTGTCAGGCCTGCCGGGTGCCACGGGAGCCGCCTGTTGCTTGTTTACAAAACAAGTGATGATTATGTCAGCGTGACGCCGCCGCTGCTGTCGAGATAAACACAGCGACCGTCGTCAGGGAATTTCAGATTAAATTGTCACAGGGAGGCGTTTAGCTTGTTTAATGAGCTAATCGGCGAGAGGCTATATAATTAAGCTCCATCACACAATCACAGAGGGCTTTTTCCATTATCATTTTTTTGCAATGCGAAATCATTTCAGCTCGATTAATAATATATCACAGCCATGGGTTAGATTTCTCTCTCCACTCGCTTCCTGCGTTTTTTTTCTCCATCTTCAGCTTACATTTGTCCCAAACATCAATTTCTGTGTCAAGCACTTTAATGAAACTGTGGGAATTAAGCATGAGAACCTTTTCATGTGTGAGTTCCAAATATCTCTAACGGTCGCCCCAGCGGGCAGTTTTTTTATGCGAGTGATGTCAGAATGCACTCACTATTCCAAAATGTGATTATTACGCAACTGGACAGTTAACCAGCGCTACCCTCAAACCAAGACACGCTGCCTGCTAATTATCTATAGGTTCTTTGAACTTGTCAATTTCTAATTATCTTCTAACAAGTTTTATTTTCTAACAGTTTGAATTGAGGTGTGTTCCGCCTCCTCATTAATTCACATAGAAGTAGCCCATTTCACTGTTGCAGACAATTTATGTTTGATGCGTTACTGAGCCGGATAAACTTCTCTCTGACGAGAGCCCAAGCACTTCCCCAGATCAAGTATGCAGACATTTGCGCATCTCCAGTCAGAACAGAACCTGCACCAAACTTTTTCCCCGGCACATTTTCCGGCTGGCGCCTGCATTGCTTTCATTGTTGTTTTCCTTACTAATAATAACAAATTTGGACATGTGTGCGTGCGTTCCTATCAAAGTAAATGCCTTCTTACGTTATCATTATAGTTTCTGTATATCGTGTTGTCGTTTCTACTGTAGCACACTGTATGTATGGAGCATAATGTATTTACTGTTTTATTCACGTTTTCAAGTACTGGTGACAAATCATGCATCCCGATTCTTGCATAGATTGTAATGGACACGAGGTGTGTAAAATACTTTTTGGAAGGTTATACTGATTATGATGAGCTAATGCTAAGCTAAATGCCAGCTATGTGTGTCAGACCAAAGATGTTATGACAAAACGAGGTGAAGGGATGATTCACGCGACTGACTTAGATTATAACTATCGTTACTCAGGGTTGCCAGCTCAACCCCACTTTCTAGGAGTTTTACTTTTATTTAGCTTATATATTTCTCCTGTGTTTGCCCCCCATTTATTGATAAATCCCACATCATAGTAATAATTCCTGCACCATATTCCCCCACAATACATTCCCCATTTCTACCCCCATGGACCCACAAATGAAATTAAGCTCCCCACAAACTCCCCTTAAATGGTTTAAACCAAATCTGGCAACCCTGTTCTGCACTACGGTCAGGCTTGGCAGTAGGCTTGTATTTGTGGTGATGATCTGTGAGGTGATAACATTTTATTTGCTTTGTGTTTGTCAAAAACAGTAAACTACTTGTCAAGTCATGTGCTCCAGTTCTTATATACACTGTAACAAGTACATCGAAGATTTGTAATATGCTGAAAAGTGGCCAAAATAAGTTCATATTTTTCAGACAATGGGCGCAGCCATCTTTGACTTTGTTTATTTGCGTCTTATACTGAATGGAATTCTTGGATTAGGGAGTTTTAACATGTCAAACAACCAAACATGCCTGCCATCATCTCTTTTCTAAACAATATCACATTTCTCCTTAGTGCTCACCAGAGATGTGGTACATTGTAAACAAGTCTAGCTGTTAGGTCACTAACATACGTTGTTTTTTTTTGCTAGCATAACCTGTTATTTAGACTGGTTTATGGAATGAGTTTGAATGTGTTGCGTGTGATGCTTGGATGATGAAGTTCGCATTCATCTTTTACAATAAAATGTAAAATTGAGGAATTAAGTTGTGAAGACCTTTATTTCCCATCAGAGCAACATTGTTTAGATGCTTTTCAGACACAATGCTGTTTAGATGCATTTGTTGAGTCATATGTTCTGTTGATACTGTTCCAATCACATTTTTGCGATGGTACGCTGCAGGGACCACTCAACAATGATCACAAATATGTGATCGTACGCGTCAAAGGGTTAAAGGTGGCAGTGTGCAAAAGACAAGCTTTGAGAGAGGAAGCGAGAGAAATTTCAGTAGATTCTGTACAGTGTGTGTGAGAATGAGTGTGCAATGGAATGGGGATGTATTAGTTGAATGCATTCATAGATACTGAATAGAACATGATCATTGCATCTTCAAGCACATGCTTGTGAATACAGTATGCTCACTTGCAAAGTATAAACGGACCTCAAAAGGTAAGGCTGAATCCAAAGCAGACCAAAGTCAGAGTGAAAGGGGGAGAGTTGGAATTTGGAGAGATTGTCTGCTCTATGTGACAGTACATAGACTTTCTTCACAGCTTCCATCTCAAACATGTATGACATACTGTAGTCACAAATATCGTCATACTACCCGACTTCCTAAGCAACCCCATCCGATTCTACATATTATGCGTTAAAGGTAGACAAAGCAATAAGACATCATTTGAGCAGACTTCATGCTCACAGTCATCAACAACGATAACATGCAACTATTGGCTTGTTATGTCGCCACGCCTTTAGGGATGGCACAACTTAGGAAGAACAAAAAGTGCCAGTCCTGGCAGATTTGAATTTGGTTGTCTGATGATGTCATATTGTTGAGCCTACCTTTAACGCAAGACATGACCCTCTAAATCACCATGCAGTTTAGGGTTGGGCGGTATCCGGATTTCCATACCTTCACACCGTGCCTGTGCCATCCCAGGACACACGATATTACTGGTAGTGCACACCAGGGGCGCAATTTTTTGGGGGGTACATAAAGAAGTCCCCAAAACATCACTTACCAGAATGCTAACAAAATGCTAACAAGTACTAGGGAATCCCCATAGCGGATACTAAGTAAATGCTAAAGAGCGCATGCAAATATTTACTACTAATTTAATTTATTCATTTCACCTTTATTTAACCAGGTAAGCCAGTTGAGAACAAGTTCTCATTTACAACTGCGACCTGGCCAAGATAAAGCAAAGCAGTGCGATAAAAACAACAACACAGAGTTACATATGGGGTAAAACAAAACATAAAGTCAAAAATACAACAGAAAATATATATACAGTGTGTGCAAATGTAGCAAGTTATGGAGGTAAGGCAATAAATAGGCCATAGTGCAAAATAATTACAATTAGTATTAACACTGGAATGATAGATGTGCAAGAGATTATGTGCAAATAGAGATTCTGGGGTGCAAATTGGCAAAATAAATAACAATATGGGGATGAGGTAGTTGGGTGGGCTAATTTCAGATGGGCTGTGTACAGGTGCAGTGATCGGTAAGGTGCTCTGACAACTGATGCTTAAAGTTAGTGAAGGAGATAAGAGTCTCCAGCTTCAGAGATGTTTGCAGTTCGTTCCAGTCATTGGCAGCAGAGAACTGGAAGGAATGGCGGCCAAAGGAGGTGTTGGCTTTGGGAATGACCAGTGAGATATACCTGCTGGAGCGCATACTACGGGTGGGTGTTGCTATGGTGACCAATGAGCTAATATAAGGAGGGGATTTGCCTAGCAGTGATTTATAGATGGCCTGGAGCCAGTGGGTTTGGCGACGAATATGTAGTGAGGACCAGCCAACAAGAGCGTACAGGTCACAGTGGTGGGTAGTACAGTGGGGAGAAGAAGTATTTGATACACTGCCGATTTTGCAGGTTTCCCTACTTACAAAGCATGTAGAGGTCTGTAATTTTTATCAAAGGTACACTTCAACTGTGAGAGACGTAATCTAAAACAAAAATCCAGAAAATCACATTGTATGATTTTTAAGTAATTAATTTGCATTTTATTGCATGACATAAGTATTTGATCACCTACCAACCAGTAAGAATTCCGGCTCTCACAGACCTGTTAGTTTTTCTTTAAGAAGCCCTCCTGTTCTCCACTCATTACCTGTATTAACTGCACCTGTTTGAACTCGTTACCTGTATAAAACAAACCTGTCCACACACTCAATCAAACAGACTCCAACCTCTCCACAATGACCAAGACCAGAGAGCTGTGTAAGGACATCAGAGATAAAATTGTAGACCTGCACAAGGCTGGGATGGGCTACAGGACAATAGGCAATCAGCTTGATGAGAAGGCAACAACTGTTGATGCAATTATTAGAAAATGGAAGAAGTTCAAGATGACGGTCAATCACCCTCGGTCTGGGGCTCCATGCAAGATCTCACCTCGTGGGGCATCAATGATCATGAGGAAGGTGAGGGATCAGCCCAGAACTACACGGCAGGACCTGGTCAATGACCTGAAGAGAGCTGGGACCACAGTCTCAAAGAAAACCATTAGTAACACACTACGCCGTCATGGATTAAAATCCTGCAGCGCACGCAAGGTCCCCCTGCTCAAGCCAGCGCATGTCCAGGCCCGTCTGAAGTTTTCCAATGACCATCTGTATGATCCAGAGGAGGAATGGGAGAAG